CCACTGAACAGGCCACCCGTCAAATCCGTATCTCCCCAATTTAGAGAAGGATGTTTAAAGTCTGCTAGGTTGAGCAATGAAAAATTCTTTCAATTAAATCACCCGAATGCTGCCTGATTTTGCTTTGACATTGATGATGGCTTGACACCATCTGCACTATTTTAGGATACAAACAATGTAAAACATAGAAGTCGCCTCCAGGTCTGCAGGAGGGGTCAGGCGAAGCAGCTTCATCTCACCCATTGTTTGAGTCAGGCGAAAGTAGGAAACTGTCCTGCAGGGAAGCGTTGGGTACAGACCACAACAGAGATGGATAACAGCTTCCAGGCACCCCGTGTCCCCTGGGGCCACCACTCCAGCTCAGACAGACAGTCCTGGCTTCACAAATTTTGGATAAATCTTGGGAGTGTAGTATGCCTAGAAGCATGAGCAAGTTAGGAGAGCCAGCAAAGGCACTTGCCTTTCTCAAGATGTTTTTAAAGGCTGCTTAGGAAAGGGAGTGTATTTTTATTTGTTTACAATGAACAGTTCAGGGTTTTATTGCACTGTTGTCGTGCACAGCTGCAAGATGCAATTACAGTGAATTAGTGTGAGGTCTCATGCAAAGTGTAACACGTGCATGAGGAATGGAAAGAGAAACAAGAAAAAGTGCAATCAGCCAGAGTGTAGAAAACTGCTTTCTTCTGAGCAATAGCTTCTGCTGACAGCACCTCCAGGAAGCAAAACAGGTTACCATTGCATTAACTGCAAACAAGGACAAGAGGCTTTAACATTGACTCAGACCAAGAAGCAGTGCGAATCCCTCTCTGTATTCATGCAAGATGTGTGCAGGGGAAAATCCATGGTGGGATAAAGAAAATAAATATGCTCAGGGGAAATTATTGCTTTATTCACCAAACAACTCTGACTATGATGGCCCATGAGAGCACAGATACTGTTGAGATCTCCATTTATTGAGTGGGAATGAAGTGAGTGGGCACGGGAGGCCAGAGCAGATGAAAAGCATACATCTGGGAATGCTCCTAAATAGCAGGGTAGAGGACAAAACAGGCAGAGAAAATCAGGAATATTGCAGATTTTATTTTAAAATAATAAGAAAACAAAGATGCAACTGATAAAATAAAGCCTCAGTGGGACAGGCAAACAAGCAGAGGGAAGTGTTTAACCTCTGTTCTAATGCAACAATCCTTCTAAAGAAAACAGGGAAATACAATAGCAGCATTACCTGTTACAGCCCATGTTCCAGCTGTGCCAAGTTTCAGAGTTATGTCAGAGCTCGGATGCTGTGTGACATTCCAGATGCCAGTTCAGTGATACAATAGACCTCCCTTGGCTCCAGTTTCTGTGCTCCTCATTCTGGTCACTGCAGGCTGAAAGAAGATATCCTCGACGTGGGGAAGGTAACGCAGCTGTAACACAGAGGAAAAGTTGGGGAATAAATGACATCATTTTGGTTAAAGACGGGGCGCTTGCTTAGAAAAGGTGCTACCAGTCGTTTGCATGAAGTGTGAGACGGAGCCCTGGTAATACAGCTTTCCAGGATTCATTTACTGAAAGGAGCAGCAGAGAACTCTGTCGGCTGAAGACCGCAGGCCTCCAGGAAGGAAGAAGAGTCTCAGGTTAACCCGAGGTTTTGGAGATTTGGGTTTTAGCTATTTCCTTTACCAGACTCCATTTGTGACCATGGCTTTGTCACTTCGCTTACATTTCCAAGAAGCGCCTGAAGCTACACGTAACTGTCTGTAAACATCTCTTACTGTGTGGCTAGAAGACAAGTGCCCAGATATCTGCTAGGTATCTGCCTTTAATGCCAGGTGCAAAAATATCTTTACAAACCTGACCTTTTAACCAAGGTTTCTCACTTGTTTTCTTCATTCCTCGTAAATCCCAAGAGGTTGACACTGCTGCAGCAAATGGAGCAAACGCTGCACCCTCTTGTTCATATATGCCTACAGAATGGAGTTTGAACTAATTTTTTTCTCCAGGAAATACCCTACTGTGCTGAGCAGGCACAAACCTGACCAGCACACGTATGGATGTTTGGCACCAGTGTTTCAAAGACCTTGAAGGATGTGGGGCTATGGACAAAAGTCTCCATTTGTTGCAGGGATGTAGGAACCCTGCAGAGAATAAGTGGGGTTGGGATTGCATTGGCCAGGACTCCTTTGAACTGACCTTGTTCTGAAAGCTTTGTGCAGAACTACAGAATTTCTGTGCGAAAAAAAAGCAATGACTTTTTAAAAAGTAATTTGCCTTTAGGATTGAGAAGGAGAACGTCCAGACATAGGGTGAAACAGCTATCTCAGCGTCAGCCACCCCCGCAAAGCATTATTCTGGTATCTAACTGTGGTAGTTTCATGAGCAGCTACTCATTTTAGGCTGAATGTTCAATCCCCCTGCATACTATGGGCTGGGGGGGTCAGCTCGGACTGGGAGCAGTGGTTCTCCTTGACCTCCTAGACACAGAGAAGCTGCACTGCTCCTGCAACTCTCCCTGTTCCCCTGATAAAGAGCAGGGGCAACTGCTTCCCAGGGCCAACCCTCCTGGCATTATCGCCACACTAAACTCACTAAGAAAAACAACAGGAGGCTGGAGCAGAGGGACGGGTCCAGGCTACACAAACACGGATTCCAAAGAAGGAACAAAGGCGTACACAGGGTCCTAGATGCCAAAGATGGGCTTTGCCTCCTGCAGTTATTTTTTCCCTTTTGTTTCTGACTGCAGGAATACATTGTTCACTTCATTGTGAAGAGTTCCAGGCAGACATGACGAAAGGGACAAAACAGCTCAAGAAAAGAGACGTCCCGTGCAGCATTCATGAAATGCGCTGTTTGGAAACAAGGAACGAGCAAACAGGAAAGCACTTTAACCATTGAGAAGACGGGACCCCAGCATGTTCTTGGCACCGGCGGGAACAATGGGGTGATGTCACCAGCCAGAATTCCCCATGGTGGATGGAAGCCCAGCAAATAATCATAATTCTTGTCCTGGGACATTAGCAAAATTTTTCCACAGTTGGTCATACCCCACTGAGTCCCTGTTAAGGAAGTATAGGAAAGAGACATTGTCAAGTGAAGCTTCCTTTGGGAGATTCGCCATCCCCCCCCTCTACCCCCGGATCGACGCATCGGTTGTTATAAATCATTACTTTCTGCTGACTGTGAGGAATTTCAGTGGTAGTGCCAGGAGGCTGAGCTCAGAGCTGCCTGAAAAATATATTTCACCCACTGAAGAAGGGTGCACACAAGGGTCTGGATACTTGTAAGTGCAAAGGGGCAGAAGTCTCATTAGCTATCCAGTGTTTTGAGACTACACATCATCAATATGGAGCAGTTTAAAAGGTGCTGAGAATTGCAAGGACCTTAGGAGACACAGTCTTGCACAAACAGTAGTGTTTGGAGAGTTTTAACCAAGTTTAAGGCTACTAAATGACAGGAGTGATATGAGGGCATCCTCCAGATTCCAGACTCTCTTTCTTATTTTGGCTTAAAGTCAGCTGTGTGGAGAATGACTCGAAGTTCATTTGCAGCACCCAGGCATTTTCTGAAGCAGCTCTTGAATTCCCCTTTGGATCCTTTCTTTTGACAGGGACTAGTCCCATGGGACGACTGGGATAGCCAGGCAATCTTCACAGGGAGTGATGGTTTTCCATCATTTTTGGGCTATTACTGAAAATCCAGACTGCTCACACCTCTGCAAGATTTTCTCTGCACGACCCCAATCAGCTTCTCTGCAGAGCACACTAACCCTGGGCTGTCACTTTTATTTTGTTCTATGAAGGTTGCTGTTAGTATGATGGGGAGGTGGGACCGCTTGGCTGAGATGGACATTGAATTACTCTTTCTACAGCAGAAGGTGCTTCAATGAGTCTAAGCCAGTCGTGAAATGGCAACTCTAAAGAAAAGCAGTGTGAAGACATGAGTGTGTGCATGGTTTACTGATAACAGATTTGTCTCTGTTCTATGTTTGTCTGTGGTTTCATTATCAATGTCTGAATATGCCATGAGGAGTTGTTTACTCTGCTCCTAGTTTCCAGTTCTTTGTGTGTTTTCCCCATCCTAGGAGTTTCCAGAGAAACCCAGCGCCCCTCATAGACATGGGGAGAGGTAGCCTGGCCCCAGGCGCTGGGACTGCCATCTGCAACTGCTAGGGCTGCCCTGCCTCCCTCTCCCCATATCACAGACAGAGGCTTCTCTGTTGCAGAGGCAGAAATCTCCCCAGGAAAGTGATGGGAGAAGATGGGGTCAGACAGGAAGGTGAAGACCATGCTCTGCAACCTGGGACTTGCTGGCTTCATCCTTTCCAGTGAAGTGGGAAGGGGGCAGCCGGCAGCAGCTGGGCTGGCTTTTGCATGGACCACCTCTCACACCCAACAGAGCCAGCATGGTTGTGGCATCACCCAGAAAGTGTCTGTCCCCATGGCAGTACTGACCCTTTGGGAGCATGCTGCCCTTTGCCTACCTTGAAAGTGCCTTGAGTCAGTCTGTTATAAGAAGGCTGGTATTAATTATACCAGCGAATGGCAGAAACAAATTATCTCAGACCTATACTGCGTGCAGAAGACACAAAGCCCTAGGCTTTGTTCTGTAGGGCATGGTAGCACTTTCCTGTCTGAGAACTTAAATTTACAGCAGCCACGAGTGACTATGAGACAGCAAAGGGAGAGCGCAGGCATCGAGTAAAATCATGCTCTCTTTCTGCAGTGCTTCTCCACTTTAACTACATGTCTCAAAAGTGATTTGAACAGGCCAAGTTTGGTATCTCTGGGGTTACAGCAATGATGGACTGCCTTGGGATATCTGTCAGGCAGAAGGAAGCCTCTGCAAAGCTGCAATTCAGGAAGCTGCTAATGAAAACTTAAGGGCAGTGAAAGGGAGGTGCGATTCTCAGGTGATTTTGGAGGGGGAAAAAGGAGTTTAATGTCTCAGGGACCTTTGAAACGTACTGAGCTGCCTGTCTGTACTCTAAGATGATTATCACACTGTTACACAATCGTAATTAATTATATAGCAGAGAAACTAGTCCTTTAGGAAAATAAAAGAGGGGAGGAGGAAAGATTTTGCCTCTAGGACACCAGTTCGAATTAAACCCAGGAAGACACTAGATAAGCTGGGGATATTGTGAATATGTGGATGTGTGATCAGCTTTGGAAGGGACGTTCAACTTCATGCATGAGGGCTCTCGTAATGTATTGGACCTGGATGAAACCTACAGCAGGAGCAGGCTGTACCTTATCTCTTACAGCAAGACTTGTCCATCTTCCTCTTCAGCATCTTCTGCTGGTTACTGCCACAGACCACAGACCCCATTGAGTCTGGTTTTACAGTTGTTATTTTGAAGTCAGAACAGATGTGCTCCTGATGACACCCTTCCATACTGCTGTGGGAGCTCTTGCAGAGAGAGGCACCGGTAAAAACCTGCAACTCTCCCACATCAAGAAATTTGCTGAATGTTTTCAGCATGATATTTTCCTTCTTCCAAAACTGTGAGGACTCCAAAGGCTATGAACTCATCCTATTCCTTCCTCACCATCTGGGAAGAAAAGCATGTTCACCCTTTTTCTATGGACCGAAAAGTTGCACCAAAGGAAAACATTTGCAGGTAAGAAAGTTTTTTTATAGAGTTAAACTGAATGACAGTTACAGATCTGTCCTGTGTGCCTGTCTGATTGCATACTTTGTATGCCCAAAGGGCAAGAAAAGAAAAGCAAGGTGTGTGTTTAGACAGCCCCATGGAGACATTCCTTGTATATTGGGTGTTCATTGGAACACTTTAATATGGATGTCTGCATTTACTCCACCCTGATGGTTGAACTCCTTCAGATTTCCAGAATGATGAGTGACCTGGAATTTATAATTACAATAGGTGTAATGCAATTAATCACCACCTCGGAGCTGTCTTCTATCGCTAACTGCTTTATGATACCAATCCTTTGCAGCAAGTGCATGAGAACAGCTTGTGTAACAGAACTATTTCCAGCTGAGACAAGTTCAGTGGGGTTCCTACCACCCGGACAGGCACGAATACCCCTTTCTGCAACAGCTGCTTTCTGCAACTGCCAAGGTGTTCCAGGCTGCAGACACAGCAATATTCAGCATCCAGGTCAGATAGGCAATGGGCCACACCAGCAGATGACATACATGCTTTAATTTCCTTTTAAGCAACTAGTTTTTATCTGGCAAGGAGTTTCTATCCATTCCAGATCTCTATTTCTAGCTCTTTTTTTTTTTTTTTTGGGGGGGGGGGGGGTGTTGCATAGATTTTGTGTAGGTCTTTCTATTCCTGAGGCTGCAAAGATCAGTCAGAGACAGAAATTCATACAGAGAATAAGGCAGAAGTCAAATATAGGTTGTAGAAACGCAAGGATATCAAAGAAAATGCAAGTCTATGCCCTTTAAACTTCAACACTCGTACACATGGTTAATTATTAATTATTGACATGGTTTATTGATGTATTGATGTATTGATTTGTGCCACCTAGAGGACAGATCCCATTGTTCTGATCAATGTACAAATCTATGGCAGTACCCGAAGAGTTTGCAAAGGTTTTCCAATGAGAAGTGCAGACGCTGGAACGCTGAAGAACTTGAACACTGAGAATATATCAGGTTTCCCTCCATATTATGGGTACCGTAAGAAATGAAGTCCCGAGCTTTTGAATTGGACAATTTGTTACATTCAGTAAAATTATTTCAACTCTCAGTACTGCAATTTGTTGCAAAAAAATTGAATTTGTTTAATTTTTCTTTACTTAGGGGCTCAAAAAAGTAATGGAAAAATTTTTTTTCAAAATGCAACGTTTTAATCAGACATGCAACTTTTTAAAATGCCTGTGTTTTAAAAGAAATCAGAAATACTTGATTTGAAAAAAAAATCAAAAGCATTTCCAGCAAACTAAGAAAGTCATAATTTCCATCCAGCTCACTTTGCAGTTTTGGTAGGAGATGAGAGACTCCAGTCTGCAGAAGCAGATCATTTAGGGAAGGAAACAACGGAAGTTTTACAAGAAAGTTTAATTAAAGTAGGAGTAATTAGGCACCGAGGAATCACAACATAAACTTGGCAAGGGATCAGTCTATGCTAGCAGTGTCTTTTTGCTGTATGTCTCTGCCCTTGGACAGAAGTAACCATAATTTCAGTTACAGGTTAACCAGCTTGCCATGAAACTTCGTTCCTACAGGCTGGTGTATGCTATAACTATCGGTATCTGAGTGCAAGACCAGAGGAATCAAAGCTGAGGGAAGCAACCCGATCTTCTGCTTCACTAGAAATTCTGCGATTTCCTATTCCAGCATAGAAAGGCATAAAACTATTAGGAATTTGGTATAAAAAAATAAAAATCCCATAAGCAATATTATCTCAGGTTGCAGAAATGTACTGTTCTGAGCAAACAGTTGCAATTGTTTGGTCTCTTAAGGAAATTTTTAGTACATTAAAGCAGAGGTTTTACTTTGAAAAACAAATTTAAACAGAATAGCAAAATAATCTAGTCCAATACTGTAGACATGAAATACTGCAAATCCATAACAATGCTTAATTTTGTTACCTTTGCCGCTAATTTGTTGGTTTCAGTACATTCAGGGTATTTGTAAAGGATGTTTAACAATACCAGCATTGTTTGTAATTCACCCACAGTAGTTGCATTTCTCATACTCATTTTGTCTCAATTTCCCAATACAAAAATGGCAGAGAAGAGAAGAAAGGAGAAAACCATGTCCTTTTTCTTGCCACTGGCTGTTTTGTCTATTTTACAAACTGCTTGGCTGTCTGTGATGGGTCTGAGGTCTCTGACAACAGCTCAGAGCCCAGGTCTCCAGCGGGAGCTGCTGAGCAGGGAGCATAGTGTTGCTGTCAAGTGGTTTTGCTCTGAAGGCCGCCGTTAGTTATGTCTGACATCTCCTGGGTGCCACAAACCATCTCCTTTGTTACTGGAGATAATAGAAAGTCAAGGAGAAAACAAGGCAGATGAGTAGCGGAGGAGGTGAGAGGAGTCGGCTCCCCTGGAGCTGTTACTATTTATGCCTCAGGGATTCCTCAAAATAGCCTCACTGTGTTTATAGGGTGGTTTTCCCTAGCATGAATCATGTGGAGATGCACATTCCTCCTGCTCAGCATTGCCCGCAGATCATGGGGTCTCACCAGCTGATGGAGGAGCTCAGTCCTGGGTGGTGGCTACCAAAGAGAGGGTTTCATGGTGCCGTGAGGAAGGACACCCAAAAACGTTCATAGCCACTTCTAGGAAAACTTCTCTCTTTGACCACTGAGGCTGCATCATGCTGCCAGTTGGGAGTAAGTCCAAACCTGCCACCTACCTTGAGTGATCTGCTGTCCACTTATGGTCCAGCTGATACCATGTGCAGAAGCTCATCCAATGGGGAAAGCTCAGCCACAAACATAGGCATCAGTTCTCACCAATGCAGTCTGCAGTGATAAGCCAAGGGATGGCTGAGTGGGCTAGTCCCAGCCTGCCCAGGTGGCCCAGGGGTGCTTTTTGCATCTGATCAGGATAGATACTTAGAATCCAAATGCAGCTTGGAGTGCTGGATTCAGGGAACAGCCTACTTAAATCCCATCTTCACCTCCAAGTACGGACATAGCCTAAGGAGGTGTCAGGAAATTCAGTGGTCCTTGGGGCTTTTACCAAGGAAAGGTCTGGATGCTTTCACTGAAAACCAAACAACAAGACAGCAAACTGTCCTGAGCCATATCTCCACCCAGTCCTTCCGTAATCCCCAGTAACCTCTGCTGAGCTCTCCTCTGCTTGGCCGTGGCTGCGCTCCCTCCCCGCTCCCTCTGCAGCTGCCTGCCACACCAGGGACTCAGCCAGCCTCATCCTTCCACCACTGCTCTCGCTTGCCCTCTCCGAGCAGCATCTCTGCCTCCTGCATGGCCCCAAGTCAATCCCTCTCACCACTTCCTCCAGTAGGCTTGAATTTACCTTGTCTCAGCCCTAAGTCTAAGCCCAGATGTGCTTCTCACTGCCCTCCCACAGACCCAAATTTCCATGCCCCATCATTTCCCTCCCTGCAATAATCCTCATCTGTCTGCTACAGAAGTTGCTAAGCTTGCTAAATTGATGTGCTGCAAATGCACTGGAAAACTGAGTTCAGTCTGATTTTCCTGCTGCAAGCTTCATCCAGGGCCCTGGGAAATGCCAAAACACAGATTTTAAGATTTTTGGCATTCTCCTGCCATCATGGCAAGATGAAGCTGCTTTAGGAACATGAATTTTCAGAGGTGCTTTTGTCTCAGATGGTAAATCCATAAAGTGCTGCCATGTGTAAGGGGGAGTCAGGACTTGGAGTAAGACACAGTCTGAGCAGAGAGCTCCCTAAATTCTTGGGAAATACAAAGAAGACACTTAGGCGGCCAGGAGGAGTATGAACTGAGAATGTTCCCCAGAAGTTCAGTATAAGAACAGGTCAGGTGTTTCCCATGGTAAACGAGGTCCTGGAAGAAAAATGTCTCTCCCTCTCTTTTCACTCTATCCAGTAGCCCACTCACCAAGCTTCTACTTTAGCCAGTATTTAATTAGTTGTACAAAATACAAGGAAAGATATGAAAATCCCATCCCAGATAACCTCACTGTCTGTTACCAAGAGGGCTCTGTGTTTAATAGCCACAGCACAAAATAGGTAAAGTTATTCATATTTGGCCTCTCCCACAGGCCAGGAAAGTGCTGTAACCACTGGGCTTGGAGTCTACTAGTACACACACATGTCTGAGGGCCCGTCTCTTCTGTCTTTTGTGTGGGTTTGGCAAGCTCTGCACATGCCTAATGGATCAGGTCTTGCCAAAAAAACAGAAAGTGGGGAACGCCTAGTTTAAGAGTCTCTCCAGGGCTTGTGCACAAGCAGCTCACCATGTCCAAAGAGCTAAATCCAGAGGGGATTAAGTGCTCAAACCTAGCATGTAGGCATCCTTGAGAAACCTAAAACCTGAGCTGCCACCTAACACTGTAGGTGCTTTAGGTTCCTAGGTGCTGACGTTCCTCCAAAAGAGTGCACACAGAGCTGTCCACACCCCAGACCTTTTGACACTCGTATTTCTGCCGCTGCATGGCACACATCCTACACGAGGTACGTGCACATCCCCATGGCATAAACATTCTCCACCACGCTACGACTGTTCTCCTCTTTCCTAAAACAACAGACTTGTCCCCGTCGTTTTATGACATTTTGGAAAGGAATTCAGCAGTACATTGAAGGACACAGAGCAGGGACAAACACTGATAACATTGGCAAACTGGCAAACAGAGTGGGTGTTTGATAGCTCCCCAAATACAGACTTCCACCCTCTGCTTAATGAT